ACTACAAAATAGCTGCACCGCTTCTTTTTGTTTGTTTCATTTTTGGTTAATGGTCGGTTCCCCTCCTGTCTGCTCCCGTTAGCTTTCAGTCCGGTCACGTCCCGGTCACGTGCGTTATAATCACCCTCTTACATACTCTTGTATGTCTATAAATCACTAAACAGCTCTGCCCCCTCCCATCTTACTGATCTGCTCCAGCCGTATGTCCCACCACGTTCTCTCAGATCAGCAGACCAGTTGCTCCTCACAGTCCCAGGAACCCGTCTCAAGCGCAGAGGTGACGGGGCCTTCTCTGTAGCAGGACCAAGACTTTGGAATGAGTTACCTCTGCTCGTTAGACAGGCCCCCTCCCTCACAGTTTTTAAATCTCGCTTTAAAACACACTTCTATTCCCTGGCTTTCTGCACTGTGTGATCTGTGCTGAGTCTGTGTGCATCACACTGTGTTGGTCATGTTGCGGTTGTTGTTGTTATCCATTACTGTTTTTGTTGGTTTCTACTTTTTGGTGTCCTGTTATGTAATCTGTTGCTATGCGCTTGTTCTGTTTGTCCCTGTACAGCACTTTGGTGTGCTTTGTCACTGTTTAAAGTGCTTTATAAATAAATTGGTATGGTATGGTATGGTATGGTATGGTATGGTATGGTATGGTATGGTATGGTATGGTATAATGAGGTTGGTCCCACCGGAATCCGTCCAGAATCAGGTGACCCGCGGAACTCCCGAAAAAATGTCATCCACTACTCTGGACATTGAAAATAAACAAAACAAAGCAAAAAAAAAAAAAAAAATGTAGAAACGTTTCGTCTTCCATCCGAAAAACTTCCTCAGTCTGAGGTGCTGTATTCAGCTCTGTCTTATAAACAGCACCTTCTCAGAGTGGATCAACCAGTTTTGCTGCTGACACCCAAAACCAGCTGATCACATGGTCAAGAGGAACCATTAGCCTAACAATAGATCATTAGCACACTGCTGTTTGATGTCACATCACTCTTTACGTGCATTCCTGTTGATGATGCAGTAGAGGTGGTCAGTTTAAGATTAAAATCAGACACCACTCTGAGCAGCAGGACCACGCTTTCCACAGAACAACTGTGTCAACTCTTGAAACTGTGCCTGCAGTCAACCTACTTCACATATGGGGAGCAATATCATAGGCAGAAACATGGGTGTGCTATGGGGTCTCCAGTTTCTCCTATTGTTGCCAACCTGTACATGGAGGAGGTAGAAAAGAGAGCCTTGACGTCCTTTTCAGGGACACCACCAAGTCATTGGTTCAGGTATGTTGACGACACCTGGGTTAAAATTAAATCTCAGGAAGTCCAACATTTTACTGACCACATCAACTCTGTGGATAAATACATCAAGTCCACACGAGAAGATGTAAAAAATGGCAGGTTGGCTTTCTTGGACTGTGAGGTCTCAGTCTCTGATAGAAGACATTTGCAAACTGAGGTGTACCGCAAACCCACCCACACAGACCAGTATTTGCAGTTTGACTCCCATCACCCTTTGGAGCACAAGTTAGGAGTCATCAGGACTCTGTATCACAGAGCAGACAGCGTCCCCACTAACTCAGGAGCCAGGCAGAAGGAGAAATCCCACACAAGACAGGCTCTAGAGCAATGTGGATATCCTAACTGGGCCTTCCTGAAAGCAGAGAAGAAACCCAAACAGGACTCCAGTCAGCCATCAGGTGAAAAGGAGGAACCCAGACCAGTGGTCATTCCATATGTTGAGGGAGTATCAGAGAAACTGAGACGTTTATTTTCTAAACATAACGTCCCAGTGGCTTTTAAACCCCAAAATACATTACGGCAAAGACTGGTTCATCCCAAAGATCCAGTCCCCCGGCACAAACAGAGTAATGTTGTGTATGCTGTTCAGTGTCAGGAGGGCTGTGATCAGTCTTACATCGGAGAAACTAAACAGCCACTGGCCAAAAGGATGGCCCAGCACAGAAGATCAACACCATCAGGCCAGGACTCTGAGGTCTACACTCATCTCCAGGCCAGCGGTCACTCTTTCAGGGATGAAGATGTTCACATCCTGGACAGAGAGGAACGATGGTTTGAGAGAGGAGTAAAGGAGGCCATCTTTGTGAAAAGAAATCGTCCATCATTAAACAGGGGTGGAGGCCTCCGGGTTCAACTGTCCCCCTCTTACAATGCTGTGATTGCTAGTATCACTCAGCCCTCTGTGAATAGTAAACAGCCATCAGTGTGCTAATGATCCATTGTTAGGCTGATGGTCCTTCTTGAGCATGTGATCAGCTTGTTTTGGTTGTCAGCAGCAAACTGGTTGATCCACTCTGAGAAGGTGCTATTTAAGAGACTGAGCTGAATACAGCACCTCAGACTGAGGAAGTCTTTCGGATGAGAGACGAAACGTTGCTACATTTTTTGCTTTGTTTTGTTTGTTGTTTTTTTTTTTGAATGTCCAGAGGACCAGATTTAACTTTTTTGGACAAGATTGTGATCTGATTTGCCAAGAGGGAGTCTTGCTTTAGCGATGTTTGAATCCTTGACATTTGCATAAAACAAGTTCAGCATTTTGTTTTCTCTGGTAGAGCAGCTGACAAACTGTTGGAATGTCAGAAGTGTAGCAGAAACTAAGACATGATTACAATTGCCAGATATTGCACTAAACGCACTAGGGTTTTGTGTCTATACCTTAGCAACCTCAGAGCTGATGACATCACACGCAGTCTCGGCAACAGCATTGGGTGGAATGTAAACAGTTGCCAAAATAGCACTGTGAACTCTCTTGGCAAATAATATGGACGACAACTTAGTGCTAATAGTTCAATTTCTGGACTGCAGAGATGACACTTAACATTAACATGTCCAGGATTACACCATCTGTTGTTCACAAGCACTGCCAACCCACCTCCTTTCCTTTTGCCACTCCTTTTTAAATCTCTATCAGCTCGTATGGTCAGAAAGCCTGGCAAGGAAACACTGGAGTCGGGGCTATGATCCTGCAGCCATGTCTCAGTGAAACACATAACACTGCATTCCCCATACTCTGGATGGGTCCTTGTTAGGGCTTGAAGTTCATCCAACATGTTTTCCAGCAATCTTACATTGCCCATCATGATAGATGGAAGAGATGGTTTGAACGTCATTCTCCTCTCCCTCTTCTTTGCTCCTGCTCTGCATCCACGATGCCTCCTTTTCAACTCATTTGGGATTTGGGGCTGTAGTTTACATTTTATTTGAGCTTTGGAGATGTTAATATCCAAAAGCTGCTGCTCCCAGTTGTAAAAACAACCTTGTTTTTATGGTTATGCATCATAACAAATGTCCAAAAGCAAATATGTTTCAGTAAAAGTCCTTCCAGCGGCACAGCAGAGGAAATATTCATCCAAAAAAAGTGATTTATAGCCAGAAAAAAAAGGAATTAAAGTTTTCAAAAGTAATAGCTCAGAATGAAAGTAACAGAGCTACTCCAACATGCAGCCACCTTGACTGCCACAATCCCAGAACTATAACTATCAGGTTCATCACTTGTGGAACCAACTTCCAGTTTCTGTTGTAAGGCTGACACATTGTCCAGTTTTAAGACTGGGCTTAAGACTTTCCTTTTAGATAAATCCTATAATTAGGGTTGGCTTGTCATGCTGTCTTAAGCTTAGACTACTAGAGGACAAATTGATCTCATTTCCTTAAATGATTTGCTAAAATCGAATAGTTTTCATTTGATACTATTTCTATCTTAACATGTGATTCTTGACCTGCCATTGTGTATCTGTTCCTATCAACCCCAGCGGGTCGAAGCAAATGGCTGCTTGTCCTGAGCCTGGCTCTGCTAAATGTTTCTTCATCATGAGGGAGTTTTTCTTTCCACTGTCGCCTTCATGCTTGTTCAAGATGAGAGTTCGGCAATGGAGTTAAACTCAATGCAATCTGATCCTCAGATAAATAATGTTAAACTATTATTTTTATATATGAATCTTTCTGTTCAGTGCCCTGAGACAACTTCTGTTGTGACTTGGCGCTATATAAATAAACTGAATTGAATTGAATTAGAAAATAAAATCTTGGACACCATACCTTTTAAAATATATATTTTTTAATTTAAGTACATTGGGATTTGGATAACTCACGGACACTGTGTGAGAAAGATTTTTTTTATTACCTTCTGTCCTCATGTTGTCTTTTCTTATCTCTGTAAAAGGTGGTGCTGCTCAAAAGGCTACAGGACTAGTCTCCCATGTCTGTTTTTCTTTTGTTAATGCACTTTGGTAACAATTCCTGTTTTAAATGTGCTATACAAATAAATTTGACTTGACTTGCCTTTTTGTCAGCCATTCAGCCTATTTTAAAGGTACAACAAACATACCGATGGGTAGCTTAGCATCACTGTGTGCACCACACTGAAGGGTAGCAACGCTAAACTTGGAGGCAATGAAAGCAAGGGTAGAGAGCTGGCTGACATGATACAGAGAAGGAAGGTGTTTTATGTGTCCAAAAACAAAGTTGAAGGGCAGCAAGACTTACAACGTTGAGATAGGGTTCAAGCTGTTTATCATGGTGTGGATATGAAGAGAAATGGAGTAGGGGTGGTCTTGAAGCAGGCGTTTACAAGAAATGTAGTATGTGAAAAGAGTTTCAAATAAGGTGATGTGTCTGAAGGTAGAAGAAGAAAGTCTGATGTCCTGATGCATGCTGAATAATCCAGGTAGATACATCTAACAAGGTTAAGTCAGTAGGCGGTAGGCAATCGGTAGGCAGGGTTCTCAGTTCTGTTGAAAGGTCAGGACGCTCTGCTTGTATAATGGTAGGGGAAACACTGGAGTAGACCTAAATTGACATGTTGGAGAAGGAAATAAAGGGTATGAGGACATGATGGATTAGTGGGTATATTGGTAGAAGGATGTTAGAAAAGCAGCTGCCAGAAAAAAGACAAAGAGAATGCTAAAGAAGAGATATATGTATGCAGTTAGAGAGGACATAGAGGTAGTTGGAGTGAGAACAGTAAGATCCTCTATCAGTCCTCACTTGGTACTGATGAGATGTGTTTCGATATGTGAATTCTGCACACTGAAGATAGCTATGCTGCCGTCACACATTCCCACAGCCAGCTGACCAGGGCTGCTGACTGAAAAATCCAAAGAAGTCACTGTGCTACCACAGTGGATGGTACACTCAGGCCACTGCAAAAGAAAAAATGTGCAATAGCTTAAACGTTTAGTTCAAATAAACCATAGCCTACTCGACCACTGACATGCTGAGGAGATGACAATGCTAAAAGATAATGTATGAGGGTTATGGCCAGTACAGTAACTATAAGATGACAACTTACCACAGGATTTTTAAGAGACCAGCATAGCACCAGACCTGGCTTCAGATTTCTTAAGTCAAACTCTCCATATCCAACAGCCAACAGTTCCTACAAAAAGAAGTAAACAAAGTAAAGGCAGTTGCTCTTCAGTAAAAATGAGGCATCCTCTATAGACACACTACATCGCTATATCAGTAGAATGCCATTCTACAAAGAACTGTTAATATATAAAGTTCAAGATTCTTTATTGTCAATCACATCACATGTGGTACATGAGGTGGAATGAAATTGTGTACTCAAGGTTCCAATTGCACCCAAAAAAAGCAAAAATATAAAGTATAAAAAAGAAACGGTATACAAGGATCTAAGTTTAAGATATATGCCAGGGCTATTCAACTGGCGGCCTATGGGTGACTTCAATCCGGCCCACTTCATTAACAAAAAAAATATTGGGGGGGGAGGGTCTGGGTTTTGGGTTCTGTTTATTGCATTTATGATTCAATGCAAAATAAAAATAAAAATTAAAGATAACTGATCATTGTAAAACTTGGTTTATTTACATAATGGCTTTAATCGCTGGATGTCCGGCCCCCAAGCTGTTGGCTTTCAGAAACTGTGGCCCCCTTAACAGTTTTGTTGAATAGCCCTGATATATGCTAAACACTAATAATGTAAAATAATATGGTATATTAAACAGCACTCCGAACATGAGTCTGTAGTGAGCAGATGGGTATGAATATAGCAGCTTTTTTTTTCATTGACCCTTTATTTATACAGGTATTCTCACTGAGTCACGAGAACTCATTTTCAAGAGACACCTGTTTAGGGAGCACATGGTGGGGGTTAAGGGCCTTGCTCAGGGGTCCAGAGTGTGGCAAATGAGGGTGGAGTGGGTGTTCCACCTTTTCCACCCACATTTTGATGTTGATGGTACCGGGAGTTGAACCTGTGACTTTCCAATCACAGACCCATCTTCTAACCTCTGCGCTACCACTCCCCCATTTTCAGCTTAAAGGCAAGAGATCAGCAATGTGGATAATAAACAGCACAGATAAGTCACATATCAACAATTAAAGTGCCATTACAGTGATTTTTTTTTTTTTTTACATTGATTTTCCTGGTTAGGGATTCATGAGTCTAACAACTTCAAGGTAGAAGCTGTTCCTCAGCCTAGTGGTTCTACACTTAATGCTCCACAACCTTCTACCTGAGGGGAGTGGAGCAAAAAGTGTGTGTGCTGGGTGAGTGGGATCCTTCATGATGCAGGTGGCCCTCTTTTTGCATCTGGAGGCGTAGATGTCTGTGATGGTGGGGAGGCTGACTCCAACAGTCTTCTGTGCAGCCTTCCTTATTCTCTGCAGCACTTTCCTTTTGGCAACTGTGCAGCCTCCATGCTACACGTTGATGCTGGAGCACAGGATGCTCTCCACTGCACACCTGTAGAAGGAGGTGAGGACTGAGCTTCTAGTCCAGCTCGCCTCAGGAAGTAGAGTCTATGATGAGTTTTCTTGATCAGGCTGGTAATGTTGTTGCTCCAGCTGAGGTTGTCATTCAGGTGCACACCCAAGTACTTGTAGCTGGAGACCACTTCCACCACAGATCTCCTATGTTTGGGGTGGGGTTGGTGTATTTGCTCCTTCTAAAATAAAAATCATCTCCTTTGTCTTCTTCACATTGATGTGGAGGTTGTTCTTCCTGCACCAGCTCTCCAGGTGTTCCTCCTCTGCCTGTAGCTGGACTCATCATTGTTTGTGATGCATCCAACCACTTCTGTATCATCTGCAAACTTTACAATATGACAGCCTGGATGGGTAGGTGCACAGTCATATGTGAGCACGGTGAACAGGAAGGAGCTCAACACACAGCCCTGAGGGGAGCCAGTGCTGAAGGTTATGGTGGGGGAGGTGAAGTTGTGGATCCTCACAGACTACAGTCTGTTTGTTAAGAAATCCAGGAACCAGTTGCATAGGGAGGAGCTTAGTCCTAGTGTGAGTAGTTTGTCCATCAGGGTCTGGGGAATCATGGAGTTGAAGGCAGATGTGAAATCCACAAAGAGCATATGGATGTAGGAGTCATTCTGCTCCAGGTGGGTGAGAGCAATGTGGAGCACAGAGGAGATGGTGTACTCTGTTGATCGATTCTTGTGGTATACATAATGGTGTGGGTCCTCGCTGATGTCGATGTTAGCTTTGATGTGGGCCATGACCAGTCTTTCAAAGCATTCAACAACTATCGGGATGAGGGCTACTGGCTGGTAGTTTTTCAGACCAGTCACTGCAGAGCTCTTTGACATTTAACACAGGGTGATCAGATTTAGATTTAGTTTTTCTTTGATTCTGATTGTGTTTATGCTTTTTTTTTTCAATTCCTATTTAACACACAGTCATCTGATCTGATTTAGTATTCACCATACCATACCATACCATTTTATTTATAGAGCACTTAAAACAGCTACAAGGCCAACCAAAGTGCTGTACAGAGAGAACAACAGACAACACACGAAGCAACATACAAAATGAAGTAAATCAAAAATATAGACATAAAAACGATGCAGATAATAAATATGACAACAAATTAGTGTGGAGCGTACAGGTTCACAACACAGATCATCTGATGTTGAAAGCTACTGAATAGTAGTGAGTTTTTATACGGGACATGAAAACCAAGAGGGAGGGGGCCTGTCTGACAAGTAGAGGTAACTCGTTCCAGAGTCTTGGTCCTGATATAAAGGCCCTGTCACCTCTGCGTTTAAGACGAGTTCCTGGAACTGTGAGGAGTAACTGGTCCGCTGACCTCAGGGAACGTGGTGGGACATACGGTTGTAGCAGATCAGAGAGATGGGGGGGGGGGACTGTTCAGCGATTTGTAGACATTTAGACATATTTCTTTCTGACTGAGTTGATGCTTTTTTGTTATTACTCCTGGACTTTTGACTCAAGGTGATCTGATTGCAGCCCGATTTTTAACCAGTACAGGCAAAAGAGAACACATTACACCAGTTTTGGCCTCCCTGCACTGGATACCAGTTCACCTTTGAATCCAGTTTAAAATCCTTCTGTATGTTTTTAAATCACTGAACAGTTCTTTTTTTTTTTTTTAGATGGCCTCCCTTCTCCCCTTACAGCCATCCTCGCCACACCATTATTATGAAATATTTATTCTAGTGATTATCTAGTGTAGTTTTTTTTTTTTTTTTTTAAATAGGATAGAAAGAAAGAAAAGACAAAGTAAGACTCCAAAATATAAGAAATATACACAAAGAGAGCACACGGCAATACACCCGGCCACTGTCTGTTCACCTGCAAAGAACATGACAAAACACAGCAACAAAATACATATGTATAAAGAACTTTAAATATTCATGGCTTTGCAGTAAGTTTCCATAAATATATATACCCATACCTACGCCTATATACATACATACATACACATGAATATACATTCATATACATATCTATATATCTATATATCTACATATAAAGCCTACATAAGCATCCCTGCATCTATTTGTGTGTGGTTGTGAGCATGCATAAGTGTATAAGGCTTCTCTAATAGAACATTTAATAGTAACTGTGAAGCAGCAGAGACCCGACCCCCAAGACCAGAGGCAGATGAAAAAGGGGGGACCAGAGCCCAAGACCCCAGGAGGGACCCAGACCGCGGAGCCCCCAGGGCCACTCACACAGGATGAACCACTCACCCACCCCCCAGATCGGACCACAGGGGAGAACCGGAAGATCCCCACCAGCGACCACATACAGTGACCCCCCGGGGCCAACAGCGACAAACTCATAGGCCCCCGCCGGAACCCGCCGCACCGATGCAGTTCCAGGCTCAGGCACCGAGGCCCGGGCACCGAGGACGCACACCACCCAGGCCAAGGCCTGACAGGGCCAGAGGAACCGAGCCCCACCAGGCAGACACCAGGCCGAGCAGACACATGCCCAAGCGCCCAGCCCCTGACACCAAGGGCCCCAAGCACGCCGGCAGGCAAGGGCACACCCCACCAGGTGGCCGCGCGATAGGGGCGCGATGCCAAGCACCCCCAGTTGTATCAAAGAGGGGGCAGTCTGAGTCTCGGCCTAACAAATACCCATTCATACACAGACACAATCACACAGTCCCAGCCTCATTCTCACACTCACTCACTCAAAGACATACAATAACGATACATTTCATTCTTATTCCCGATACGCACTCTATACCCCCCAGGTCCAAGACATGTACCCGCTCTCTACAGGGGGCAGCCCATGCCCAAACCCAGGAGGTAGACCCATTCATTCTCGAGTGGAGAGGAGCCAATATCCCAGACCCGGCCCAGGCCACGCCCAGCCGACAGGACACCCCCCAGCACGAAGAGGTCACGCCACCAACCACCCCCACACACCACCAACAACCAAGCACGCGCCCCCAGCCAACCGACCACCAGGCCCTGGCAGCCACCCCGGCCAACGGGCCAACCATGGCACCCAAGAGCCAAGCTCAGGGGGTCCAAACAACCCCAGGGAGAGCACAATCACTGAACAGTTCTGCCCCCTCCTATCTCACTGATCTGCTGCAGCCGTATGTCCCACCACGTCCTCTGAGGTCTGCGGACCGGTTGGTTCTCTCAGTTCCAGTAACCCGTCTTAAGCACAGAGGTGACAGGGCCTTCTCTGACGCAGGCCCTAGACTATGGAACGAGTTACCTCTACCTATCAGACAAGTCCCTTCCCTCACCGTTTTTAAATCTCACTTAAAAACCTACTACTATTCCCTGGCTTTCAACACTAGATGATTTGTGTTGAACCTGTATGTATCACACTGTGTTAATCATTATGATATTATTTGCTATTATTTTATTTCTATATTTTGATTTTACATTATGTTAAGTGTTGCTGTGTGCTTTACCTGTTTTGTTTCTGTTTGTACAGCACTTTGGTTGGCCTTGTTTCTGTTTAAAGTGATTTATAAATAAAATGGTATGGTATGATTTAGTTATGACATAGTTTCTAATTATGGTTTGTATTTTATATTTTTATTCCATGTGCTGTAAATATATCTTGTTACTTTTTATTTGATGCTGTAATTTTTTAGTTAAGCACTTTGGCAACAGTTTCTGTTATAAA